ACTCATCAAGCACATAATATGCAGTTATGAAACATATATATTGATGAATATAGGCAAAATGATGAAAAGATGTTCGTGTCCAGTATTATGTCACCCACCCTCAAACTTAGATAATACATTGTCCTCAATGTGAAAATGAAATAAAAGTGTAAACAGACATAATTGAAGGACAATAATAAACTAAAAGCGCAAGATGGGGTACGAGTACTTCCCTGATTTATATGGAGGTGGTGAATGAAAACTAGTACTCGCAGTGTTTCTCCTTTCCCTGTGACATTCTTTTTAGTGACATCCTGTAAAAGTGCAAAGTATGCGTATTAGTTCGCATGGTGTAAACAGATGCAACCGAGGCAAGAAATAACCTACGTAGTGTACAAATCCCCCGAATTTGCTTCAAGGTGCATGTGTACATTATTGGCGTGCAAAATGCATAATTTATGTCTCAACATAAGGTTTACATCACAAAAATGTGAATCACCAAAGAAACTTCATTCAAAACATGCACTTTGTTCAATTTGCCATATGACTGACTAAAATAGGACTTCAACCTCATGACTCGTGCTCAGTGCATTGGGACTCGTGTAGACCATGCTTAGACTCCATGTGATAGGGATATATGATTGATGACCTAAAACTATTGATAATGCTAAAAAAATGAAAAGTTCCTAAACTATTGCAAAACGAAGTAAATGAAAGGATAGAAAGTTGGGTTGCCTCCCAACCAGCGCTATTTTATAGTCGATAGCCTAACTTTTGGCATAGGTGGGTTATGGCACTTTAAATATGGCTTGGGAGGTCCTGCATAGTTTGTTCAATATGGTCTTGTTCCGCATTGCAGTTATCCTCGACACTTCAAACCTGTCCTTTTTCACGTGGTGTAACTCTCCCTCATCATCCGTTTGAGTCTCCACGGTGTATACCTCGATCTCCTTTGAGTCAGTGAGAATGGATTGAGGGTGCATCATATCAGGCTCCTGTATGTCTGGCGGTTTCTTCAATTCGTAATTGTAGGGGATTCCTATGTCAATCACATCAATCTGGAAACAGTTGTCTGGCTCGGTGAGATATTTCATTACTTTGAAAACATTAAAAATGGCCTGCTCCTCACCCAGTCTCAGAGTCAATTGTCCTTGTTGCACATCTATGAGAGCTCTTGCAGTTGCCAAAAATGGTCGCCCCAATATGATAGGCACGTCCTTGTCTTCTTCCATGTCCAGAATTAAGAAGTCCGCTGGGAATATAAGTTTATCCACTTTGACCAATACATCTTCGATAATTCCTCGTGGATGTGTAAGTGATCGATCAACCAGCTGTAGAGTTACTATAGTTGCTTTAGGCTCTCCCAATCCTAGTTTCCTAAAAATAGAGAGTGGCATCAAGTTAACACTCGCACCAAGAGCACATAATGCTTTATTAAAATAAAAATCACCAATTGTGCAAGGAACAGTGAAACTCCCTGGATCTTTCAATTTTGGTGGAAGCTTTTTCTGAATTCTCGCGCTGCACTCTTCGGTTAGCATTACTGTTTCATGATCCTCTAGCTTGCGTTTATTTGATAATATGTCCTTCAGAAACTTTGCATAGCTGGGCATCTGGAATAGAGCATCGACCAACAGGATGTTGATGTGGAGCTTCTTAAAGACTTCCAGAAATTTCTTGTATTGTTGCTCCATTTTGTGGTTTTTCAACCTCTATGGAAATGGAATTGGAGGTTCATATGGGTTGACTGTAACTGTTTCTTTATTCCCTACTTTTTCTGAGCTTTCCTTTGCAGTAGATGTGTTTGGTTGTTCATCCTGCTCCACAGTTTCTTCTTCTACAGAAGGTGTATTCTCTTTGTTCTTGACTGGCCTTTTGACATGCATATCAGGTACCTGCACTCCACTTCGAGTTGTGATGGCCTTAGCATGCTCTTTTGGGTTGATTTCCGTGTTACTTGGCAAATTTCCCTGTGCTCTTCCAGTCAAAGCGATGGCCATCTGTCCCATTTGAGTTTCCAATTTTTTGATGGCAGCATTCTGGTTTTGCAGAGTGATTTCGGTTTTCTCCATGTACTGATTGGTCCTCTCCATGAATTTCCTGAACATGTCTTCCAATTGAGGATTTTTCTCTTGCTGTTGAAACTGAACCTACGGCCTATTCTGATTCTGGTTGCTCCAAGCGAAATTGGGATGCTTCTTCCAATTGTTATTGTATGTTTTCCCATATTGATTATTCTGTTGGCGTTGTCCCCATTGTGCAAAATCTGTCTGCTCAACTCCTTGCATTAAAATTGGACACTCTGATGTTTTATGCTCAGCTCCACATTCTTCATAGCTAAACTACTTATTTTGTGTTGTTTGTGATATGCTTTCTACCTTGTGAAACAACGAGTCAATCTTCGCAGATATGGCTGAATAAGTATCGA